CATCGTACCACATTCTACCCTACTGAAGGTTAAGGCCTTAATTGCAGCGTTTCCAAGGATTTCTCTTGCTTCCCTTTCCACTTTCAGGTCGTTCCGCAGCTAACCTCTCACCACAAAGCGCTGATAGCACCTGTTTAATTCCGGAGTTTGCCTTCAATCAATGGGAGAAGCGAGTCCCCATCCACACTCCTCCAATAGATATGGACCAACTACCTTGCCTGTGCGCTCTGACCTATCATACTGACTGTCTAGTAGTGTTGCCGCCCAATAAGAGATTTCTTTTTTGTTAGTACAAAAAGAAGCTTATCGGATTCAAGCCTCACGACGGCTCCCAATGCACACTTTGTCTCGAGACTCAAATGGATTTAATCGCACTTTGCTCAGCTCAAAGCGTGTGCTCTCAACTTAGAATTGACGAGAGCATTTCATTTAATAAAAAAATCGTCATAGTGGTCAGCTACGTGGACGGCATCAGGAAAAGTTGCCCCAGAAACATGGTGCTCTCGTCGCGCTCAATGGGGTTCTCGACTGATCGTGTACCTTTACGACGGTTTCCGGAGGGTGGGCTCCGAGGGGGTTTGCATATTTTGAGCTAATGTCCTTAGGAAACTATGCCACGTCGAGCCAATCCAAGAAATTATGTAAGAGCTTCAGGGTGAACTATAGGCCTCCCCGGGCTCGACGACGTTGGCAGATGACGTCATATTCTGAAGACGGTGCGGGTGGTGAAGGAGGGCCTGCGTGTGCTTATAGAGAGAAATTTATTTTTGATCAGCGTCCAAGACTCGATGCACTTAGGTCTCCTTTCGAAGTTTCATAGGAGGTTCAAAGCGCTCCCAGGTTAGATTCGAAAAACTGTCTACTACATAGCTGGAATGTGATCGGTTCCTGTTGGGACAAGGGCAAGAGGACATTGAGCGCATTTTCTAGACGATCAGTCACTTGGAAATAAAAAAACAAGGGAATCTCAAAAAATGTACGTTTAATTAATTTTACAGTGGCTAGATGGAATAGGTACGGTGCGCTTTATAGTGCGAATGTTGAACGCATCCATCCTGTACTATCACTGGCTGCAAAAGTGGAATTGTGTGAGCGTCGTGTGCGTTCAACTACCCTAACTTCCTTCAGAGCAGCCAAGGCCAATTTACGTGAAAACACCTCCTCCCGTGCAGTATAAATGCGTACACTCACAGACTACCGTAACTTCGGCCAAAGGGTGATTCGATGTCCTGATTATGAATGTGACATCCATTTTCAGAGGTGGTGCCACCTGGCACCAGTTGGCATCCCTTCACGTCACGACCCTTTTTTTCACCAAATTTGGTGTGAACTTCCGTACAGAGCTTATTTGATGTCCTGATTAAAAGGACATTCATTCTCGGCGCTGGCTCTATTGTATTTGGCACTGTTCTGCTCGTCTGCGCTCTCCAACCAGAAAATATGTGTTGATCAACGCTACTGCCAAAAACGAATGCTATTTTTGAAATCAGGGAGCAAATAACCTCTACGCAGAAGTTTACACTGAATTTGGTGAAGCAAATATTGTGACAAGGAAACGCCACTCGCGCCAGGTGGCGCCAGCGCTAAAAATGAATGCCATTTTCGTAATCAAAGCATCGAATTACCCTGTGGTGAAAGTTACGGCAGACTGTGAGTGTACGCAGGGACACTACACGACCGGAGGTGTTTTTACGTGACCCTAGGTAGGGCTTAACCACCAGAAATTAAGGCACTCTCGAGATGGAACTCATTCCGGCATGAAGCTTTTCAAAGCACCAGAGCATGGGCATATTTTGCACATTGTCTAGAATGCTCGATTCTGTCGGTTAACAACAAGCTCAAAAACCCGTGAATTCGAGGTATACACATTAATTTCGAGGTTCTTACGAGTACTACACTGCGTTTCATAATTATAGGTCCACCCTAAATTTTTGCTGCCCCAAAGTTGCTGTGCATTTTTTGGAAATGCTGCTATCACCGTTGGGTTCCTCATCACGGAAAACCTTCATAGTGTTTTTCTGACCAATCCCCCTCAAGTAACCCAATTAACTTTTTAGAACAATTTTCACCGTTTCATGAATATCGGACCACTCATAAAAAGTTTCCATTTCTCACGATCCGTGAAGGGAATCAGGGAAGCGGGGAAATATGTGGGCTCAGTCGACATCGAGTTTACCATACCTCGTGTTATTCGCCTCTCTTCCCAGTAACAAGCTCAAAGCTAGAGCACTTACTTGAAGTGGGATAGCTGAGAGCAGAATTTCCTCCCATGGCGGTCGGCTCAATTCACATAAGGCCACTATGTGCGAAAATTCTGGTTAGCGTGCGGAAAGGAAAGAGTGGCTTTTTGGTAAACATGAAGACTGGCGCGTTCCTTAGGAATTTTAAGTGGGATTGGCGCTTTTCGTCATTGTACAAACGAGTCCGAACGAAAGTCCGTACTGAGAAGCGGCCTTTCCGCGGGAAAACCCAAACCGGTTTGGGGGGAGTAAACCAAAGCAGAGGCAATAACATCTTCAGCAGATTGGTTGAAGTGGTTCTTACAGATTATTGATCGCTCAATGATCGCAGTCTGTTATCCATTTTTCCGTGGGAAAAGGGCTCAACTTTAAATGAGCGATGGGTGTGGCTGTTAAGACCCTTCGCGATCCTTGGACCTACTCCCTGTTTCGTTTCGGTACAGGTGGCTGAGATCAGCGGGTGGAAAAGTTTATGCGGAGGGGATATGGCAGAAAAAATGATACAGGTGATCGCGTGGAAAATCGCAGATGTTTCATGTAGAGCTATTCGCGGTGAAATCCCTTATTGGTTTGAGGCACCTTGGGAACGATGGGTAGCTAAGAGCTCGCTTTGTTTTCCGTTTCACAAAGATTTCCACGGGTGATTTCGTTTGAAGTTCTTTCGAAACGAGTCTTACCATTTTTGTTTAAAAGCGATCCCCTCCTATCTGATTTCCACAACACGATAACGCGGCTTTGTCCATGCGTCCCTCCGGCAGATTGGTTTTACTGCAGGAAAAAGTGGCAGCGTTGCAGTATCTGCGTGGCCACATGGTTCATCTGAGTATTATATTTTCCCAATAGAGAATCAATTGGCTGTTAATTGTTATTAAGTTCAACAGCAAAGGTAAAAGCAAATGGAACAGCCGAAAAAGCTGAAAGGGTCGATCATAGGCGTCCCAGTACGAATTTTCAGATCCGATTGTATAGGCGGAATTTGGCTTACCAGCATTTTCACAAACGTATTATTGTGTTCCTTATGATTAAGGGGGGGGTTCATCCCATTTGAAAATTCGTGACCGTTTTTTCGTTCAGTAAAATCCTCCCAAGTGATGTGTAGTCATTATTTGCGAAAGCGGTGAAAAAGAAGAATATTTTAATAATTACTGAATCGAGATTTCTGCAGAAATCAAGTATCAGGTTTTCGTTATGGGAAATCTATTGGTAATAGCGGCATTTTCCAAAAATGCGACAGCAATTTTGGAATAGCAAAAAATTAGGGTGGAATTATGAACTAATATTTATGAAACGCAGTATACTATCTCGGTGCACATAAAATCATCGTATCACTGACTTGCATTCAACGAGGAATAATTTTCTTACGATTGCCTGCAAGTGCATCCGGATGTTTCGCACCTACCAAGACAAGAATCCGCTTTTTTTAAAATCTTCTAGTTTTGACAAAAGAAGGTCAAAATGTTCAAGAAGCTGTAGTAATTAAGGATACGAAATGATACGCCAAAACCGTGTACTTGCCATAGCGTCGGCGCCAAAAGTCACTGCTTCCTTTCTATGTAATTAGACTACGTTTGCTTGAAGTAGCTTTGCAACACGTTAGCAGCAGCGCGCACTCCGGCTTTTTTGATCGCCTAGGACAGGCGCGTTCGCTTCATTTCACGTCCGCACATTTTGTGTGATTGCTATGCAAACCAGGAATGGCACAAAATCATTTCAGTAATATTCAATGATTAGAAATAATCAGCCGGGGATATAGCGGTGGAATTCCGATAGAATTAGTTTGTAAAGCTTATGAAGAAGCAGGTTTTACTCGTTTCCTCTGAAATGGACGTCAAAACTGTTGCTTGTAACAAGAAAAGCTCTCAATTTCGTATCTTTTAGGAATCCGTGGCAAACCTAAGCAAATTTGCTCATACGATGAACCATGCCTCTTACATTTATGTCATGGTGTGGTCTACAGAATGAATGCGGACCATATGGGAAAAATCTTGCTAGTGCGAGAAAAAGGGATGACATGAAAGAGGGACTGTGAACAGAAAAACAACTTCATTTGCAAACGTTAAAATTTATGTATGAACACAAAAGCGCAAATCAATAATGATATGTTGCTCAACAAAAAGAAAATAAAAATAAACATTGTCGTTCTTTATACAATGACTAGATTTCCCATTCAGCGAATTGTTGTAGTGAGCCATCAGTAGAGAGAAAAAAAGAACAACACGATTAAACACAAATGGACGTGTTGTAAATTGTATCACAAAGAAAAGAAAAAAGAGAAAAGAAGTGAAATGAAACAAAAGACACACTCCGCTTCACTGGAACCTAAAGGCTACAATCGCTGTGTAGACACGCTTCTAGCACAACAACCAACTATCGAATTGTATCAAAACGTACTGAAGAAATCCTAGACGAAAAAGCTGAATAGTAATGGCAGTCCGATAATGACACTGTCGCGAAAATGAGCATAATCGAGATATTATAATTAGTCTAGGCTCAGCCGCGTGTAGGCGTGTGAGCCACGTGACACACGAGCGTGATGGTGCCAAGAAAGTATCATCTCCATAACTAGTTCTCGCGAAGTGTCGCGTCGCTCACACATCGACAATACGCATTCAGTGTTACAGCGAAATTACACCCAATGTATCAAAAAGCTCGAAAAACGAAACAAAGCTTCTTGCGGAACTTACACAACTAAATAACTTCTGGCCGGCACTACCTACACAAATTGAGCTTTGTGTTGCACTGAATAACTCTGCTCCTCTTCTAATCGGCCGATCTAGGATCGTCGTAGTCTTCGAAATCTGGATCGGAGTACTCGGTAAATCTGCTCGGAGTAGGGCGATTCCTGAAGCTACAGTGTTCGTATCGAAGCTTATGGCGCGTTTCCAGAGAATGACGGTTAGGACTTGCAACAGTTGTTACGGTATAAACAAGGTGAGGTATGGCTTCTGGTAGTACATACATATTGCGGAGGTAATACGTTGAGACAAAACATGCATTCTCACATTCGTCTTTCTTTGATTTCACGTATCCTTCTAAATTGAACAACAACATCACAGACAAAGACGTAATACCCAACATGGACATAACGAGGACCACAAAGACAAAAAAAATTTAAAAAAAACGGACTGTGAAGCTGTTCGCACCTGTTGATACTGTCGAGACTGATTGGGTTACTGTCCCTCACTTGCTTCCCAAGGCTCTCGAATCGTTGCTCCCAGAATTTCGGTGTACGAAGTGCGGCACTGAGGTACGACGAGCCATTCGTACGCCAATCAGAGTCACCCTTAACATCCATTTTGACTTAATAATTCGTTTGATGACAACTTACTAATTCACTCAAATAGTATTGCAAGGAAAAATAAAGAAGCTTGTAATGAATTTGGCGTCAGGCAACACTTCAGAGAGGAGGGATGCGCTGTACCTTCCAAATAGTTGAAGGAATCCTTCGCGGGAATTTTTGCACTTTTTCTCAACATGAATGTGTCAGCTGTGATCACTAGATGCAGTACACAAACTCCGGTTTTTGAAGAGAAATCAACTCACGGAAATCGATTCTATGGACAATCGAAGGTAATTCGGGCGGAGTCAAAGGCGGGGCATGGAATAGGTCTGCACTGGGGCGCCTACGTATCATGCGACGCAGTCAAAGAATCGGGTTAAGCGTGCCATTTTGAGGGTAGAGGCAAATCGATTGATTGAATGGATGGAGTAGAAGTGTGAGATGTGAATGCAATAAGTCAGAAGCCCAAAATGAGTTTCTATTGACGCCACTACAAGAACCAAGTGGAAGCATCCCCGTCGCCAGCATTTGTGGCAGATGTGCGGCGGTAACTTGAATGCGTAGCAACCATTTCGGTTTCTCCATGTTATTACCTAAACGAATGGAATTTTTCTGTTCTTTTCATTCTTATCGTAGATGATGGGTCTCATGCCAATGAATTATGGTTGAAATTGAATCATGATTTCTCCGTGAAGGATTTACACTCCCGTGCTTGTACATTCTTCCACTCACGCCTGATCTCAATTAATCGGCCCTGGAGGTATAGGAGTGTGGTTGGCCCCCAGGTTTCGGTTCGGGATCGCCAGCATTGTAAGCGATGCCTTTTGGTGGCACACCACCTGCGCGTCGCTCGAGTGAAAATATGATGAATTGGTGAGGAAGGCGTCGACGTTGAACATGAGTTATCAAAAGGGACTGCCACTATATATCTATGGCCATGGGTTTGCTCTAATACCTTCCTTTTCGATTTCTCTAAAAAAAATTTGATTTTTCTTCAAATTATCCAATACTTGCCTCAATGTTGATGCATTTTTCGTAAGGCATAACTACATAAATGCAAAAAAGGAGGGGGGGGGGGGAGGGGAATAAGGGTGTGGAGGCCAAAAGGGGGAAATTATCCGAGTGATCACGGAAAAATGTCGGATTCCAAAAACTTCCCGCAACGCGGAACCCTCCGGACCGCCGGGACCGCCCCGATTCTTGGCACCCTTGTCGCCCATAGTTCGTGCGCCGTGGATACAACCTCACCCAGTTGACTATTGTTTCCAATCTTTTCAATCACTTGTAAGATTCCACATCGCCCTGATCCGCTGTATACAGGGGGGGGCGGGCACGCCAAAAAAACGGAGTCACTCTTGCCTATGGCTCGCATCCACCAAATTTTTCTTCGCACTAATGCCCGCAGCTCAATGACATGTTTTACGGCAAGAATATCCTTAGGTGCCCCCCCACAAGCAGAAGCAGGCCTCTACATCAATTGCCCTCACGGTCTTCAGAAATGGACGTCATTCTCCGTCCGCCGTCAAGCTCCACGGGGCTTACCGTACTCCACTCCGCCTGAAGCTGCCAACCCGATTTCTTCCTATCGTTACGGCGGTGAATAGCTTCCCAGAGACACAGCACATCTTTGACCGGGTTTCCAAGGGACGTCGAATGATCATACAGGGACGCTCCGACGGACGTCGTGTGAGCCTCGTACCGTGAACCATGTTTCGTGGACAAATCTTCCGAAGCCAAGTGTAAGGACGGTAGTCACTTAGACCTTTTGAAATAGACTTGAATTTGCTCTTTAAATGCAATTGAGCTGCAATTTGATTTGGTTCCGCAGGTCTCGAGATTACATTGCTTGAATGTCGAGAGCAAGTGACCTTTTTCTGCCCCCCCCCCGTATTCATAATGCACCAATCTGACCTGTACGCCTGGCTGAACACATGCGGACAATTGATATTCATAAAATGTAAATACCTCGAATTGATTGGGTGAATGCACACTTGGTAGTAGAGTGTATCTGGGAGTCAGGTTCCGAGCAGATCCTGCCCAAGTCAAACAGGCGTTCCTACGAAGTGGTAAACTGACCGAAACTTTTCTGGGAGGACAAAACTGGGAAAAAGAACTCGTAGATTGGGTTCAAGTGTCCTTGTGATTCCTAATGCGAAACGACTGCAAAAGCTCAGTACCTCAGCAAGTGAATAAATTGTCGTAAACGCAGAAATGAGCAGGCGACGCCTTCAAGGAGGGTATGTGGTCAAGAATTTTGCTGTGGCGGTATTAGTTCCCTTGTGCATTGCTTCACATCGAGTTTTAGTGAGGAAGACTTCGTATGTCCAACATCGAGGCTTCACCACGTTCATTGTGTTAACACCGATTACGAACTAGATCTGTGAATTATCCACTTAATTTTGCGCACAACCACTAAAGTCTGGGAAAATCACTTCCTTCCGGCTATTTCTCAAAAAAGGTCATCATTCATAGCGTTTTCTAGCGAGCCAACACAGCTGGTTCCAGTTTTAGGTGAAAGTCAAGCAAAATGGGGAACAGCATTGGATGATTAGAATGATCCTTCTTATTGATCTGGTCAAGTTCACCCCGCTTCCTGGGACTGAGAGTCTCTTAATCAATACCTCTACCAAGCGGCTTTGCAGCGGAATGACCCCTGCGAGAATCTCTCAAAAAAAAGGCAGCAGTTGTTGAATGAGTTTGCGTATAAATCAACTCTGCAAAACATAATGGTATCACATGAGTCATCGTGTGTTGATGGGTGAGGCCGAGAGTTCAATGTTCGCTGATGGATTCCGGGATGAATGCAAAAAAATGACCATTCCAATCACTAAAGCAGCGGTGGCACAAACTTGGTAAAAACAAGGCTCTGTGCTATAGTTCGCTAGAAACATTCAAATTGGGATCCCTGATTTGTACGATGTTTAAGAGTGGTCTCTGTTGTCGACCCTAGCTTACTGTCTACTAAGAAATTGTCTTGGCAGTTTCGAATGCAGAATTGTAGCGCATATTTCACAGATTTTGCTATATTACCCTTGCGCACTATTAGTGTCATGCATATCCTCCATATAAAATAAATACATATGATCAAATAGTTTGCATCAATGCATCACATAATTTTAATACATTTCGCAGCTTCAGTTAAAAAAGCTTCAAAACTTATGTGATGCCATTCCCTACGAATCATACACGCCGTTCACTGCGAATCGTAACTTCTTCAAATCTCGATCCCGATAAAACTCATTCTCAAAACCATGTGCAAAGCGCTCTCACTACCGGGGTGAATAACTATTGAGGAATTCCTTGAATATGGCTCTCTACTGGGCGAGAGTAACATCGAGGGTGAATGTGTGCGTGGAGAACACAGACGGCTCGCGGCTCACGCGAGTGAATGTGCGCGCTGGAGAGAGTCACTGAAGAAACGAAAGTCCTCAACGAGCCGTTGCCGTTTCCTCGACCGATTTTCAACGTGTTCGCTACCATTTGACACTGCTGCATTCTGTAGCAACGTTTTGAGCTATGACTTTTCAGCCTACGAAGCTTTGTGCGGGGAGCAGATAAAGTGGCGCGTTCCCATGCAAGAGTTTTAGAAATCCATGCTATTTTAGGGATGTGTGCTCTCAACATATTTGAGAAAACGTGACATCTGGGGAAGTCTAACTATGTTCTTAAAAAGCGGACCATCGTTTTTCTACCTACCTTTTGTGAACATAATAACCAGAAACAGGGGCTGAACCTTTGGCGCTGACCTCGCCAAGCAATTTCGTCTCCCATTCTTGGGGTCTGAAAA